TTAAGTGTCTGCCTTCATCTCAGGTCATGATCCCAGGGTCCTGGGATCCAGCCCTGCCTCGGGCTCCTGCTCAGCGGGAAGCCTGCTTCTCCCTCCCCCACTCCCCCTGCTTGTGTTCCCTCTCTCGCTGTGTCTCTCTCTTTCAAATAAATAAATAAAATCTTTAAAAAACTAAATGCATTGCAAATGCTTGGATACAGGAAAAATATGGTTCCCCTATTTTCAAGATATTCAAGAACATACCAAGATGTTAAGTGACTTGCTCCAGGTCATGAGAGAGAAAGTCAGAAAGCTATGTCCTCTGAGTTGACACTTCGCTTCAGATTTTACCCAAAGAAGAAAGGGGGCAGGAGCAAGATGGAGAGAGGGGATTGAGGGCTGAGGGAAAATAGAGAAAGGGAGAAGATGGGGTATAAGCAGAGTTACCCACTGACGGGGACATATTGACTGAAGGGAAGGAAACAAAGGAACTAGGGATTTCCTCACTTGGATTCCTGGGTGGCGCCCAGCGATATGCTAAAGGCACATCAAAAGCCGGCCTCTCAGCTCTCTGAACCCCAGAGCTGCTCTGAGTCACTTTCCCGCTGGGCAGATTCTGGACACAGATACTCTCTCTGGGTGATGGATCCTTCTGTAAGTAAAGATCGTTTAAGAAAACCAGATGCGCTAGCTGCTTATGTTTGCTGGGAATAGAAATGAGTGTGCCTTTTCCCTTAAATCCTTCTTGTGTGATTTTAAACCTTCCTGCTTACACAACCTGCAAGGGAATTATTAGACCCCAGATTATTTTTTTTTTTAATCATTCTGCAGCTTTAAAGTTTTCCTGCCTTACTCATTTAGTGGGGAGGATGTGGGCAGAGCCGCATGATGTAAAGTAAGCAACAAGACCATGATATTCATCTCAGGCTGCAACCGACCGCACAGAATCTTGATGACCAGAAATCATAGAGCCCTCCTCCCTGGGCCGGTGGCCAAGGCTGGTCCCTGCTGGTCTTAGGCACACCTCGAAGGCAGGCTAAGTGCCCATTTGAAGGAGGAGGTGTTTTGAACACAGACCTACAGCAGATGCTAGGGTCAAAACCAGTCCAGTGTGTATGAAGTGCACGATAACCTCGACCAGCTATAGCCTGAGGTAGCAAGATTTGTTAAGTACCTACCACATGCCGGACCTTGGCGAGGTGGGTCCACTTCCTTTATCTTTATTTCATTTTGTTTCAGATCATTTCATCCATCCAGCAGCCCTCTGAGGTAGGGATCCTTACCCACCATTACAGATGGTGAAACGGGGACCCGGGTAACAAGTACCTTTCAGATGCACCCCGCTAGTAAATGCAAAGCTGCAATTCCCTCCTGTTCACTTTCTACTCTACCGTTCACTGTCTACTCCAGCAAACATCACCTCTGCCATTCAGAGAATCCACCTAAACTCTTCGGTGAGCAGACAAAGGAGAAATAAAGACAAAATCCCTGTGGAAGGGAGCACAGGGTGGGTGTGCGTCTCTCTGTACTCTCCTGGGAAGCACCTCAGTGACTCTGGGCTGCCTTCCTGAGGCCCCGCTGCCAGAATGGGAAGATGTTGACCACAGGGGACCGTGGGGAAGACAGCCCCTGCTCTGGGGCTAATGGGGTGTAACCACTGCACTCCAGGCACCGGAGCCATCCAAGGTCTCTGAAACCTTTTATGGTAGGTCCACTAAGCCTGCAAATCCTAGTGGCCATAGTATATTTTCAAAGGCTTAACCAGCTCAGCAAGAAGAATGCCCTGGAATCTTCACTAATTCAGTGAGGTCTGTTTCCAAGACATGGGGCTTAGAGTCCAAGAATCTTACTGAGTATCATCTGGGCTGCTTAACAGAGGAAAATCACAGCAAGTTCAAGGTGTCGGTGACTGTGATGGAAATGGGCTCTAGTGAGCATGAAATTAAATCAAATAAAAGCGTGGAAAACCTTGAAAAACCCCTTCCTGTCTTAAATGAAAACCACAGCAAATGTATATGAATAATTCCTTGATGTCCAATTTTTTCTATCAAAGTAAATCCTTTCAAAGGGTTAGAAGAGTTAGGGACAGCATGTGGCCTTTCAAACATACCCTCACATGTAAATAATTAATGCAATATCTGTACTGTCAAAATTATTTTACCACCACGTTTAACTAAACCATTTTTTTAAAAAGGTCCTTGGTTTTCTTATGAATGTGATAAAAAATAATCCACAGCATGGAAACACATAGATGAAACACATTATGGGAAATCACACACGATAAGTTCTCCAGTCAGTATGAACAAAAAGACAGTAATATGATATTTTCGTTGATACTTAACTATAGTGGGTCTATTTCATGATACTTTGCAGGGTTCTGAGATGGATGATGAAATTTTTATCCCATGAAATATCCTATGTCAAAGCGGGTGAAGATACATAGAAATCTGTTGTTTAATTCAACAAACATTTGCTGAACACATAACAACCATACATGTACCAGGAACACTATCAAATTTTAGAACGAGTCAAAGTTGAACAAGTCAAATCACTGTCACCCCCCCCCCCCCACGACAGAGCTCACAATGTTGCAGGAGGGGGGGAGATGAAATTGCAGGCATCAATTTCAAGTGATATATTTTCTCAAAGCTCTGAAAACAGTATGCATCTTACAATCAACAACATGTCAAAATGTAATTGGCAGCACTTTTTCTTTCTTAATGGCACATAAAATAATGGAATAACTTACTATCCATGACAATGAAGTTTAGATTCAATGAACTATGGTAATTATTGTGTAAGACAGAACATAGTGCTAAAATAAGGAAGTCCAAAATTGCCTTTCAAACCTAAACGTACCATCCCTCCATGGAAGGGTATTTGTAGTTCAGAACTTAAGTCCTTAATGGGTAATGGTAAATAAGGCAGGAATGATTACACAAAAGCACTTACAAATTATTTTTGTTCATAATAATAAAACATTGAAAATGCACTGCTATTTTATATAACTTTAATTAATAGTAATGGATATTATATAGTTCTATTTACTATGCTTCCTTGAAAAATTTCAGGATCTCCTCTCTTCTGGTCACAATAAATTTTGTTTTACATACCTGCTGATTTTATACACACTAAGAGCAGTTTTGTGTTCCAGAATTTGGTCTTTCACCCAAGTATTCAATTTTGTCTTGAGTGCATGGCATGGCTCACAGTTACTACTCAGTCCATGGGCCATTGATTTCTTCATTCAGAAATGAAGAACAATGGGAATGCTTATTTTTTTAATAGCATTTTATTTTTTTAAGTAGGCTCTGTGCCCAATGTGGGGCTTGAACTCATGATCCTGAGATCAAGAGTTGCATGCTTTACTGGCTGAGCCAGCCAGGTGCCCCTAAAAGAATGTGAATGTTTATGATGAGAAACAAACAACAAACAAAACTTTGGGGGAACATTTTTTCAATATTTTCAGCTTAGTGTATCTGACAGGTATTTCTCAATGAACAAACCTTCCCACCAGTTTTCTCCTCCTCATATCGTCCATATATCCTGTGCTTCAGCCACAGCAGGTTGCTGCAAATCCCCAGCCCTGCCTTATGCTGTCCATGCCTCATTGCCTTTGCTCCTGCTTTTTTTTTTTTTTTTTTTTTTTGGCCTGGAATGCACTTTCCCTCTCTCTACACTTGGAAAGGTCTCACTCAACTTTCAAAACCCAAGTCTAACCTCACTGTCTTATCTTAGGCTTCCCCAGGGAAGAAGGGTCTGAGACCGGGGCTTCAGACGCTATTTGGGAAGTAGTCCCAAGGATTATGAATGAGGACTGGAAAGAGCATGCCACTAAAGGAGGGAAAGTCAATTCAAGAGTAAGTTATTGCTTTGTCCCATTCTGTGAACAAAGGGGTTCCATTCTGTGAATAAAGGGGCTCCATCCTACAGGAATTTGCTCCCCATTGGTCATCCGTTGTCTTGTGGGGTGTTAACACCCTTGCCTTCCCGGATTGTGCACAAGTGCACTTTCTGCTGCAGAAAGTAGGAGATGTGTGGTGCTGTCAGGTTACACCTGCGTGAAGCTGGTTGCCATGGCAATCGCTGGAGCAAAAGGTGACCTAGAGAGGATGAAAGGCAGAGCATAAGAGGGGCACAGAATTAGCCTTGCCCCATCAGTCCTCCATGGTGCCAGGCACAGACCTCTGCTTCACAGCCTTTGTTCTGTTGCTTCTAACGATCCATTTATATATTGAGAATGAATTTCTTTTTTTTTTTAAGATTTTATTTATTTATTTGACAGAGAAAGACAAAGCGAGAGAAGGAACACAAGCAGGGGGGAGCGGGAGAAGGAGAAGCAGGCTTCCCGCTGAGCAGGGAGCCCAATGCGGAGCTTGATCCCAGGACCCTGGGATCATGACCCGAGCTGAAGGCAGACACTTAACGACTGAGCCACCCAGGCGCCCCTTGAGTATGAATTCCTTATCAGTGGTGACAAGATCTTGTTCACGTCAGAGGCTACTGAACCCAGCAGAGTCAACAGCAAGCAGCATATGGACTTAGGACCCCTCAATGTGGTAAAACACACATTGTTTTAAATGAATGGGAAATGTTATGGCAGCCGGTCTATTTCTCAAGTAGTAGATATGACAGTTCAAATGAGAAGTTAGGATGCAGTGTGAAAAAAGGAGAAATATGTCAGGTGAACTCAACACAAAAACCAGCGTAGACAAAGATGTACTCATCCACGATCCTGGGGAAAAGGAATTATTTTAACAAAAGTATCAGTTTTCTTTTGTGGGATTTTTTCCCTCAGGAAACCTAACAAAAAGAAACATCATATGGGTCATGTTATCAACCACTCGGTATATAATCCTAAATAAGTTTCAGTGAACTCGTATTGCTAATATCTACCTTTAATCTCAATGGATTCCCGACAATGACTCCCTGATTCACTCAGAATGAAAACTAAAGTCCTTACAATGACACTTCAAGCTCTACAAACTGTGGTCCTGTTACCTGTCTGGCCTCCTCCCCTCCTGCTCTCCCTTTGCTCACCTTCCTCCACCATGCTGGCCACCACCAGACACACTCCCACCCAGAGCCTTTACACTGGCTGTTTCTTCCACCTGAACACTTTCTCCTGACATCAGCTTGGCAACTCCCTCAGCTTGGCAAGACTCTGCTCAAATGCCACCTTCCCAACAAGTCCTATGCTGAGCCCCCTTTTTAAAACCTGCACCCCTCCATCACTCTGAACTCTCAGGATCCATATCCTGCTCTATTTTTTTTTTCCTATTTCCATAGCACTCAATCACCTCCAACAAATATATAATTAGTTAATTTATTATGTCTATTGTTTATTTTCTCTTCCCCTTTGCTAGGATGTGACTTCCATCAGGGTAGGAAACTTTGTCTTTTTTATTTATTGGTATATCCCAAGCATGCAGAATAGTGCTTGGCACATAGTAGGTACTCAGTAAACACTTACTAAATTGAACAAAATGTCTTGAAGCTTTGAGATAACAATACGCTTCCTAAATAGAGGATATATTGTTCATCCAAACATTGGTGAGGCATCTACTATGTGCTAGATGTGGGTAACATGGACACGATCCCTGTCCTCAAGGAGGTCCCAGGCTAGTGTGGAGGCAATTACCGGCCAGAGTGTTGGGCTCTCTGACACAAGCATGCACTGTGGCTCTAGGGTCGCAGAGAAGGGGATTTGTGTGAATGTGCAGGAAGATAAGCAAGGGCACAATGCTGAAGCTGACTTTTCATATAGAAAGCGAGCTACCTAGACAACAAAGGGAATTGTAACTGGGTAATGTATAATTGGGTTGTGTATTTTTTGTCAGGATCGTAATGCAATTGTTAGATACATGTGTGTATATTTATATTTATATTTATATTTATATAGTTCTCATTTAAAATATCCATTGATTATGTGTTTATAAAGTAAGTTTTCTATATTCAATTAAAAAAAAAAACCTCTGGCTTTATTTTTTTCTAGTTGATTCACTCATTCCTTCAACGAACAATTATTAAGTGATTATAATGTACCAGGCATTGTAGCTAGATGCTGTGGATACATAGAGGAACAGAAACACGTTCCCGGCCCTGAAGAAGACTTTAGTAGTGCCGTAGGCAGACCTGTGAAAAACTAAGAACATGGAAGTGTTACATGTAGTAGGAGAGAAGAATTTAGGGCAATAGTCCCGACCTGCAGGTCAGATGTAGCCCACATAATTGTGTGTTCAGTTCAACAGTGTTTTTTAAAACTTTGAATGGTTTTTTACAAATTAATCCTGATTTCTGGCTTGTCTTAAAAGAAAAATCAGAAGACCTGGCAACGCTGAGCCTGAGATCCAAAATGGCAACAGTTGACCACAGCTGAGTCAGAACCAGCCCTTTCAGAGGGAACAAGAGGAGGGGGAAGGAGCACGGAAGGCAGAGGGCCCCTGAATGTGGAGGGGTCTGGAACGCGGGAAGTGTTGCACATTCCAGGCAGAAGGAATATTTTATTTACGGTCTATACTTCACTAAGCAGCCAACCATATACAAACCCATGCAAACGTCGACAATTCCATCCCCGTTTTGCCCGGGACAGTGTTCAGAAATGTCTGTGACATGAACAAGAACATGATCAAAGAATTTTACCTCTGGAGGAGATTATTTCATAGGTCATTTTCCAAGTGAAGAAGCGGTTGTCTAGAGGGGTTGAGTAATGTGCCCAGGGCACTGCTAACAGGAGCCTGTAGCTGTTAATGGATTGTACTAAAGGCCTAAGGGAACAGAGAGAAATGGCAACATAGAACAGTATAGCGGGGCATCTGTTGTTTTCCTCACCCAGCATCCATTCTTCCTCCCTCTGGAAACAGTACCCTTATTTTGCTCCGGGGAGCCATCACACATCCTTCTTCCACGTGGTGCTGGTGGAACTGAGTCCACCCGGCTTCTTGGATGGCATGTGACCCAAGCCTGGCCACCAACACCCATCCTCCTGGAGCTCTTGAGAAAGAGGCATAATCCTTCCACTGGGGGTTGCTGAGAAGCAATGCAATTCTGAATGATGCTATTAGAACCTAAGCTAAGACACCACGATGTAAGGAAAACAATGATAAGCTACAGTTCCTTGGATAAATTGCTTAACTGTTCTGAACCTCAGTTACCACATCTGTAAGTGAAAATAACAATCCCTTACCTCAAAGGGCTGTAAAGAAATAAAGTCTGTAAAATGCCTGGCACACAGTAGGAGCTCATTAATGTTGGCATCTTTTCTTTCCCTTCCGCATAATGTCAGATGGATGTAGCATTACTGTAATTAAAATGTAAGTAGTGCATTGGCAGACGTTCCTTACAACATATTGAGAACAGCTTTTTCAGTAGCTACCTTATGTGATTTCAGGGAACTGGGGAGGGAAAATAAAATAAAATGCAGCTTGTTTTCCTGGAACAATTCAAGCCATAGCCAATGCGTGCCAAGTGTAGCCCCTAAGTCTATGTCTGCATTCATCTACTATCTCACCTCTGCATAGATAAAGTGGTTTTCCTCCCCGCTCACTGGCCATTTTATTTTTAAAATGGGAACTCTTGAATCCCTGGCAATCATTTAGCTGACAGTTTGGATCATAATGTAACAATAACATTAGTGAGCAGTTGTGTGACAGTTCCTGCTTTTAAAGCACTTTAGAAATCTGAGCTAATTAGCATGAACGCTAATATGCCAGCTTTTCATGGATTAATATTGCAATTATACTTTGCTTTTTCAATAAAAATGCAGTAATCTTTTTTCACCAGAAATAGGGAGAAATGAAATGAATAAACTGCCTCTCCAGTGGATTCATACACAGTGCAGTTAAAATGTGAGTCAGACACTTTCTTGACTGAATGTTCCTCTAACATTTGTGAGGATTTATAGGGTATGGCACCTCTTGCAAATTCTGTTTTAGGATCAATGAAGGAAATGAAGTGTATTAATGGGGGACCGAAAAGGAATTTGTAAACCCAAGTTTCCAACCTTCAAAATACACTTTCTACTCATTTCTAGATTTAAGCACCTCAAAGAAATCAGAAAATTATCTGATTATGATTTACTCTTAAACCAAATGAGAAAATACCAATTCATGTAGTATTGCAAAAGACCCTATTCCTTTTGTTGTGAATTAAAATATAATAGAGTAAGAATAGAGGAATAAAGACTTGGGTTGGAATCCCACCTCTAGTACTCAGCTATCTAACTGTAACTTTCTGAATTTTGGTTTCCTCACCTCTAAAATGTGGGATGGGGTGGGGTGATAATACTTAGTTTGCATGATTCTTGGGAGGTCCAAAAGGGATTCTACCTTATACAATATCCAGGATATGACAGGTGATCATATTAGCCCTGACCCGTCCTCTCTGTTTGTAATTCATTTCCCTCCCTTTCTGCTCTAAAATTATTCTGACATTCATTCAGTTTCAGTTCATGGAAAGCAGAGCACCATCATGAATTAAAATTTTTGTTAGGTATTATAAATAACTAAATTTAAAGGGACTAGGAATAATTATGAAAGTTCATTTTGGTGGGAAAAATCTAAACCTATGATCACTTGAAAACTCCTTTGAACATACTATGAGTCTACGGCCATACCACCCTGAACGCGTCTGAACATACTATGAAATTGTATAGGTATCTCAGCTAAATTTCGTCATTTTGTCCTCTGTTCTTTGTATAATTTAGCGAAAAGTGATGTGAGGAGGTATAACACTGGAAAGACTGCCCAAGACAGTTAGAAGCCTGTATGAGCACACTTAAATTGTTTCATTCATTCATCAGTTCAATATTTATTGAGCACCTATGATGTGTCAGACACCATGCTGAATGTTGCTGGTATAAGGACCAGTATAAGGACTAGCAGATAGAGCCTTTGTCCTTAAAGAATTCAGTCTCATGGTGGAGGCAGACAAGTGAATGAACACTTGCAATAACGTGAGCAATAAATGCTAGTATATGCTACTCAAGGCCAATATCTAATTTCTTGAGAAGTCATAAATTCTGAGAGAAATGGTGTTTATCCTGCCAACAAGATCTGTAGAGGGTGAGCACTCAGTATGGGGTCAAAAGACCTGGATTCTGGTCCCAGTTCTTTGACTACTATATATCCTTTGATAGTCATTTCAGTTTTCTGAGCCTCAGTTTCCTCATCTGTAACGTGTGACTGATGATAACAGTCCTCACTGGGTTATCGTAAAGATCAAAGGTCATGAGAGTGAATTTTTAATTAACTGCAAAGATCTCCTAAAGCAAGTTACATACTTAAATGTTTTTTGAATTTTAAAATAGAAGTTGTTTAGTACTTCACATAATCGCTGAATGATCCTTTTCCTTAAAACATGAAGGAAGGAAGGAGGAAAAAAGGAAGGAAGGAAGGGAGAGAGAGAGAGAGAGAAAGAAAGAAACAAAGAAAAATGAAAGAAAGAAAGAAAGAAAGAAAGAAAGAAAGAAAGAAAGAAAGAGAAAGAAAGAAAGAAAGAAAAAGAAAGAAAGAAAGAAAGAAAGAAAGAAAGAAAGAAAGAAAGAAAGAAAGAAAGAAAGAAAGAAAGAAAGAAAGAAAGAAAGAAAAAGAGAAAAAGAAAATCAGCCACCTTTCAGTCCAAAGCAGGTTTGGCTTTGATCTTTTCAACACTCCAGGTAGATATTTACCATTATCCCCATTTTATCAATGAGAGAAGTGAAGAGCCAAGAATCTGTCCAAGAGAACTATCTCTTCAAAGCCCAAGCCGGGGAAACTTCCCAAGGTCTTTACATACCAACAAAAGGCCAAAGCACCAAGCCTCAGAAGACGGCGGTGATCTTCTCTCGGAAAGCCCCGCCTCCCCCTCGCGGAAGGGGCTGGACGAGGCTTCAACTCCGCCCCGTGACTCATGCGACCCCGCCTCCAAGTCTTCCACCTCTCGCGGGATCTCTCGGGAGGACGGATGGGATTAAGTCCCATCATGGCGGCTGAAGAAGCGGATGTGGATATCGAAGGGGACGTGGTGCCAGCCGCGGCACAGCCAGGGTGAGGCGTAGAGACCGAGTCTCGCAGGGATGGGGAGGAGCGCGGGTGCGAGGAGAGTACCGTGGAAAGGCTGCGGGTTCAGCAAGGAACAGGGGAGAGGAAGACGATCCGCTGGGCCAGGGTCTCCTGGTGGCGGGGGAGGTGCCGCGCCCATCCTGCTTGTAAGCTACTCCTGAGCCCAGGGGGCGTAGGTACGCGAGGCTGGTGTCGGATGGCTGTTTCACCTTTTACCGGGATGTTCTGAGGGCGCCGACTTCGCCGAGCACATGGCACTCTCTCCAACAATTTAGATTCTTTCTTCCATGATCTCCATCCCAGTATCCCCCCTCCGTTTGCCCCCTCCGGACAGTAACTAGAACAAGATCGGCCTCTGAACGGGACCTGAGCTCAGGGATCCTTGTTCCATCGCTTGTCAGCCATGTGACCTTGGGCGTGTCGTTTCATCTCCGCTGACAGGTTTCTTATTCCACATGGGGTTAGTTGTGAAAAACTTCCTGAGAGTCAGCTTGACTTAAAGGAAAGGGAAAGGACTTGAGAGTTGGACAGCTCTGGGTTCTCCAGCATTGGCCGGCCTTGTCCCTTACTTAACGCAATGTGACCTTGGATCAGACAGGTAACTTGCCTGAGCTTCAGACCGCTCATAGAAAACTGACAGTCATGGTTATTGTGAACATCAAATGAAGTAATTATGGGATGTGCTATAGCATACAGTAGGACCTAGGTAAATGTTTTGTTTTTCACCATCTTACCCTCGTGGAGATTATTGTGAAGACCTAGTGAGGGGTCTGCAGATTCCTGCAGAACAGACCAGTGTGGTTTCAAGCAGCATCCTCCAGTTTGAGAGTTCTAGCCCTTTGACTGCTTGCTTTCCAACTAAGAAATTGATAACATACTATTTTTAAAATGTGCTTCCCCAGTCACCTTTTAGAATTGGAAGAGCCCTAGACTGGTCAGGAATCAAAAGACCTCAGTTCTAAACTTAGCCAGTCATGTTGCTTATAAATATGAACAACCTCTTTAGAAGTCTGTTAGGTTGAATGAACCATGTGGAATTACCAGTCTTAGACCATTTTTAACTTACAAAATGGCAATTTCATGCAGTCCAGCCTAATGTTAGGGACTCTGTAAATTATGGAGAACAGTACCCACCCTGCCCTGAGGGATTAAGATAGTGGGTTTAAAGTTCTACTGAACTCAGGCGCCTGGGTGGCTCAGTCGGTTAAGCGTCTGCCTTCGGCTCAGGTCATGATCCTGGGGTCCTGGGATCGAGTCCCGCATCGGGCTCCCTGCTCTTTGGGGAGCCTGCTTCTTCCTCTCCTCCCCACTTGTGCTCTCTCACTATCTCTGTCTCTCTCTCTCAAATAAATAAAATCGAAAAAAAAAATTTTTAAAGTTCTACTGAGCTCTAAAGCACTATAAAAATGCGAGGAGTAATTAAATTCATATAGTCATTCTCTCCCAGACCTTTAGACAAAGCAGTCCAAAGCTATACAGATGAGTAGGGAACTTTCATTAACAATCGTTGTTCACATTTGTGTAGATCAAGTTACCAAGTTAATCTTGACTAAGTGCTCTTACATGCATGATTTAATTTACTTTTCACAATAAGTCTGTGTGTTAAGTAGGCAGGGATACTTACCTGGAGTCCAGAGAGAAGTGAGTTGGCCTTGGAAACACAGAAGATCATCTGCGAGCATTGGCTCTGCCCCTTTTCCAAAGGTTCTTCTTTATTTTTCTGATCGTGTTTAATTTTTTTTTTTTTTTTGCCTTCTCTTTTTCTTTCCTTTCTCTTACTGTTGTACTCAAGCCTTAGGTCTACAGGTGATACCTATGATCATCTAAGACTCATGCAAGCTGGATTACAAAGGTTATTGGTTCCTGACGGTCAGAGCCTTTGCCTTACCCAACTCCAAGGAGCATCATTAACATATTCTGGTGAATGGTGCCCCCTGAAGTGTGTGTAGGTAGAGCTAATGATAACATCTGTGGAAACGATGAGGATTAATTGAAAGCACACTTTTAAGTACTTGCTAAGTTGTAGGTGCCAAAGTTAGAAGGTGGCATTGAAACTTGGGTTTCCCTTTCACTTCTACCGTTCCTCCTTATCTTCCTTTTCTCCTGCTTGTCCTTTAAATCAGTGTTCCCAGGGGTTTGTCATAAGACTTCTCACTACCCACACAGTCCCTGGTTATACCATCTCTCAAGATTTTAAATTTCTGTCTGTTAGGCTGGATCATATACAATTTTGCCAGTGTTCAACCATTTTTGACCATAAGAAAAATGGCAGTTTCCTAAAATTCCACCTAATACATGCTGATGTTTTTCATATCTTTCACCAACCCAAATCTCTCTCCTGAGCTTTAGATCCATTTATCTAATTCTCTGAATCTATCTGTTCTTGGATATTCCACAAGCACCTCAGTCTCAGCTTATAAACTTCCCACCACACCTGCCATCTGCCTTCAAGTTCCCTAGTTCAATAGATGGCACCATCCGCCCTGTAACTCAAGGCACAGATAGAGACTTTATCCCTTTTCCTTACCTCTCTCCTTCCACCCCTTCTATAAGTTGCTAAAGGTCAATTGATTGTACGTATCCTCTCAAATGTATTCACTTCTGCCTGTTCACACTGCTTGTTCCCTGGGTCTAAGTTACTGTCACCTCTCTAGTATTTATATAATCACTTCCTCTTAACTGCTCCTATCTCTTTGGCTCCCTTCTGTTCTTTACTGAAGTTAGACCAGCCTTTCTTACATCCAAATCTCATCATGCTATTCCCTTCAATCTCCGATTTGCTTTATGAGAAAATCCTCATTCTTCCTACAGACCTGGATGATCCATGCCCCACCTACCTTGTTCATTTAATCATTAAACAAATGCTGATGAGCACCTTTTCTATACCAAGGCCTGGGTATATAGCAGTTATCAAACTAACTCCTTGCTCTCATAGAACTAACATTCTTACTGGGTAAGACACAGTAAAACTTACAATGGGCCAGATGGGGGTAAGTGGAAAAAGATAAAGAAGGGAAAGTGGATGGCATGTTAGCTTTATCTTGGAAAAGTGGCTCTGAAACTACAGGACTTCAGAGGTCAGCATGGATATAGTGGAAGGACTGGATTTGAAAAGTGAGGAAGCCACAGAATTGGCAACCAATTGAATGTACATTGTGAGGAAAATAAGGGCAGCCTCAGATTTCTGGCTTGGGCAGCTAGGGGGATGCATATCCTTTGTCTGAGATAGGGAACAATGGAAGTAGCAGATTTGAGAGGAATTTCTCAGCTAAGGTTTAAACATGTTAATTTATGCTACCTGTGGAGATTCAGGTAGGTGTCCAGATGCATACACCAGAGGTGTGGAAGTTGCTAATCCTTATTGAGGAACACTATAAAAAGACATTAAACCTGAAGTGAGAGGCGCCCAGGTGGCTCAGTCAGTTAAGTGTCTGCCTTCTGCTTAGGTCATGATCTTGGGGTCCTGGAATCAAGACCCATGTCCAGCTCTCTGTTCAGCGGGGAGTCAGCCTCTCCCTCCTCTCCCTCTGTGTTCCCGCCCCCATTCAAATAAATAAATAAAATCTTAAAAAAAAAAAAACCAAAAGGAAAAATCCCCCCCCCCCCCCCCCAGCACCCTTGGCCGACCTCTCCATAAGCAAAGGTTTCCCTCTGTCGATACAAGTCTCAGAATCCTTTATTTAGCATTCCTGGCAGCCTCTTCCAAATCAGAGTTAACACCTGAATTATAAAACCTTTTTGCCATCAGCAGCTGAGGGAAATTACTGCTTTTAGTTTATTGTAGATAGTCCACAATTTATTAAAACCACTGTAGAACTAATTGAAGATTCAAAAGTATAAACCTTTTTGCAGTCTAAGAGGTACAAAATTCTTACCACTAGACTAGGTCTGGGAAAAGTCAGTAATTTTCTAGGAAACTTTATAACTTCAAGACATAAAAAAGCAAATATTGAATTTAACTATATCATTAATTCGGCCTTCCAAAACTTAACTATTCAGCTTTTTTATGTGAGTAGTGAACATCAAATGAAGTAATTTAGTCACATAAAGAGCAACGTGACTTTAGAGAGTTTTTATTAGTTCAGTGAAAAGAGGGAGAATTAACAAAGTTTAATCCCCCATGGACATAGAAAAGGCCCCAAATAACCCAAGTTAATTTTTTTATTATACAAATTGTTATTAAAACATCAGATTTTCTTTTTACTTTACTGTCGAGTATTTTCTATTTTGACTCTTCGATCTATTTTTTTTTTCATTTTGAGGGCAGTGCTGTTATTGATGGCTTTTATGCTTTAGATATAACTAAAAGAATTGATTGTAAAGTGGAATTCTTATATACGTATGTATGCTCATTAAACTCTGAAGTGTTGGTTCATGGCTTTAGAGCATGTGTGGTTGCTACTTTGGGGTACTTTTTTTCCTCATGAAGTTGTTTATTCTTGGGGAACGAAAGAAGTGAACAGACTGGCTGGTTGCAGTTGAGATGGGGTGAGCTAAAAAGGGTGGCTTAAAGCTAGTCTATATTCCATAGGTTAAAGAAATAGGGTAGGCATTTCCGTAATGTTAAGTCTGTTAAGGGAAGAAGGAGATGAAACATTTGCTTAACATCCATACCCTGCCAGTTCCTGTGGTGTGTGAATGATATTTATTAATTAGTATAATGTCACTTTTTACCCATTTTCTTGATTATTACAGAAGTGATGAACATACAGCATCTGTTTTACAAGATCACTATCTTGATTCATCGTGGAGAAGTGAGAATGGTCTTATTGTAAGTATTTTATGAAAATAGCAGGTGCATAAGCTCTT